GCAGAAATAGTATCAGGTAGATCTGAATTAGATTGTGAAACGAATGTGTGCAGTGTGCATGTAACAGGGAACTTGGCTGCCAATGGAAGAGGGGAGGAAGAAGGAAGAAGTATTGTGTTTCCTAAGAGCAGGCATTACTTTATATTAGCAGCTATTTGAGAAGGTATTCTTTCTGCTCATGACATTCGTATTTGCTATGAATGAAGGGGTATTCTGCATTTCTGGTGCCTGCATTCCTTGTGTTGTGCAGCGAAATTTGCTGGCACTCATCCCAGAACCTTTCAAGGAGTACATGGACGTTTGCAGTAATTTATTGGCCCCTGTTTGCAAGCCCCTGAGAAATGACATTCTTGAGTTCAAATTTTGTTTAACTTTTTCCTAGACCTTTGTAAGTGGTGATAATTAAAAGCTGCTGTTAATGGCATGGTGAAACTTGCAAGATTTCGGGAAGCTATTTAGCAATAGCAGTTAGAAACATTCCACGAAGACTTGTGGTCTCTGTGCTCTCCTCTCATCTCACTACTTCCCTTCTAGAGAGCAGTTTAGCTATTCCAGCAACTGTTTATTTATTTAACTTGTAAAGCTGTCATTGCAGACAGATGCTATCGCAAGAATGTCCCACCTGATTAATTTCTTCTGATAGCCAAAGCTTCTTGCAAACTGTTTCCCAAAAAGAAAATGAGCTAAGAGGAAAGAATGGAGGCAGAGGCCTGTGTAGTCTTGCTCATTTTCAGCATATATCTACATGTGGTCCTGTTTCCTATGTCTGTTTGTGAAAAAGCATTTCTTTTTAAAGATGATCCCTTTCTTTAGGTAACATTCCCTAGACCTTTGGATCTACCTCTGTATTGAGAAACAGTGAACATTTTCTCCCTCCTTTTCTCCTTCCTAGATCTTTGTACACAGGCCAATTCAAAGGCAGAAGTTTTTTTTTTCTTTTTTAACTTCTAAAGCCTTTTTCAAGGAGGATGTAAAAATTGGGAGTGAACAATAAAAGATAAATACAAACAATGACATGGGAAAAGTTAAATGATGTGTGACTGGTTGTTGAAACTTTTTATAGCTTCTCTGTATGTCACAGAAGTTCTAATATTATCAAACAGGTACATTGATGCTTTCAAAAATGGATGATGAACAGCTTTCCTTCAGGCACTTATAAACATTTATTATGACTCTCCATAAAAATAAAGACCTATTTGTCTAGAAGTTCAAAATAACTGCAAAGAATGGCTGTTTTCTTTTTTCAATCTACTCGTATTCTTGCTAAAACAGTATTAAATAACCCAACAGGCTTTGTTATCTCTTCATAAAAGCTTTGCATTTTTAATAGCTAAATTACTATGACACTGAGGTCAGCTACAACACATTACATCCGTGCAAAAAGAATTATTTTAAGGAATATACTTTATTTCATATGGCCTGCTTTTTCCTAATAGTCTAGATAACCCTAAGGCTGAATATTCATACTTTCAGAGTTTCTAAAATGCAGCAATAGCTAGCAGTCCTTTTTGAATACATATATACCCGTTGCAAATGTTTTTGAAACCCCTACTTGACCTATTTTTCATGTAGGAGGAACAAACCATGTTTTATAGATAGTTCTCTCATTTAAGGATTTTGAAATTATGTAAGATAATTTGTATTATAACGTAAATTATATCATACCCTTTCTTTTCAGTCCTCTTCTCCTGGTTTGGGTTTCATAGAGACTATATATTACACTGGAGTATTTAATGGCAAACCTCAGTGCACAGATGTAGAATTAAATTTCTAATGTCAAACACACCTAATACCAATTTCTCACTTCAGTAGTGTAAATTGGAAGACATGCATTTAACTCAATAGAATTGGATCAGTGTTGTAAATGTGTGAGATCAGATTTTGTAGACGGAACGGAGTTTTCATATATACAGACTTAATCAACACAGTCTTCATTTTCAGAGTTTGTTGCAGGAGGGATCCAGGGGGGATCTTATCAATGTGTATAAATACGTGATGGGAGGGAGTAAAGAAGATGGAGCCAGACTTTTCTCTAAAAGGAGAAGAGGCAATGGGCACAAACTGAAACACAGGAAATTCCCTAAGAAAAGCTTTTTCAGTGTGAGGGAGGTTGAATTCTGGAATAGACTGCCTAGAGATGTTGTCGAGTCTCCAGCCTTGGAGATATTCAAAGCTCAACTGGACATGATCCTGCGTAACCTGCTCCAGCTGACCCAGCTTGAGCAGGTGGGTTGGACTAGACAATCGCCAGAGGTCTGTTCCTACCTCTACTATTCTGTGATTCTGTGAGTTTCAGCTACGCTAAAATACTATACTTTTTACTTCTTTGATCCTGATCCTTATCTTTGTTGGTTATTGATTGCCAACTTAAGAAAAAATACAATTTAAATTCCATTTATCATGTGTCCTGTTATCAAAATTGATATTTAGCAACATCACCTCTTAAACTCAATTTTCTGGGACCATTTGGTATGGGCAGGGAGTTGGACAGAAGTGAAATCATTAGTGATTCATTTATATCATTTATATGACATGGTCTTAAAATGCTGAGAAAGATAGGCAAAGATTACATCAAATTGTTCTAATCTACCTCAGGCTTTATCTAACTAAGGATAAAGAATAAACCCAGACTGGAAGCAGAAGCAGATAGATATCTGAAATAAATGATGATATAATCTATTGCTCTCTTTCCTGCAAGGTTATTTCACTGCCTATAAACATTCCTCAGAGATTCAGAGAGACTATGTTTAAAAGCCACAGAGCATTTCTAATTTAAGGACTTGTTAAAGCCATTCCTTACTCCTGACATCATCCAAGAACAAGCCTTTAATCTTGTCAAAAGTTTATGACAAAATAAAAAAATTAACTGAATTTTTAAAAGATTTGATTTTGGTGAGGTACTTTTGTCCAGAAGGCTGCCAATAGTCACGGTTTCTGGCCTGTAGTTTGAAAACAAAAGGAGAAAAAGTTGTTATAAATTTTTTTTTTGCTTACTCCTATAGCCAAAACAAAAAATCCTGATAAAATAAATCATAAGTATTAAAATAATAAACTGGAAAACTCTTTATGATTTTATAGTGTTTTGTTAGGCAAGAAACCTCCATGCATCTGAATTTTCTGAAAGCTGCCAAAAAAAGTGAGATTGATTTCTGCAGCCTATATGATCAGCATGGATAAAAGAGCAAGTGCTGTTTTATATATATGTGGTTTTGCACAAGGCTAAATATGATCTGAAAATCAAATGAAATCTGGTGGGCAGAACTGTTCCAGCATCCACGTTTCTCATCACATCCTATTAAAATCAAAACAGCCACCTTATGTCTTTTTTATACAAAATCATCAGTCTGGGAATAAGAGACACAGAGTTGATTATATCTCACAAATCCCTAAATGAGCTCAAACTGATCTTGGAAGTGATGCAATCTGTGTGGAAGATGTTAGGTGATATTTTCACAAAACACTGACTGTTGTGGTTGCCTGAATTTTTGACATGCTAAAATGGAGCAAAGAGGTCTGATTTTTCAGTGGATGAGTACTCAGACCTTTCCTACAGATTCCTTTCAAGAGACAACCAACCTATTTTGGCAAACGTAGGCCAAGTTGGTTGTACATCTGTTAATACATTGTAAGTGCTTGAGATCAGTCTCCTATGCTAAGGTCTATAGGCCACGGCCACCACTCTATCAATAAACTCTCTTACCCTCCCAAACAGGATGCGCACATTCAGACTTCCTACTGGGAATGGCAGCTGGTCTTTGATAACTCCCAATTTATGCCCAGTAATGATCTGGGAGAATGACAGTTGACTTGGTCTATAAGTAAGCAGAGATCAGACTGACAATTTAGAAATATAATGATTGGATTTCAGGGCTTAGGAACATTCCTGGAACTGTATTTCTCATAATAGAAATGCAACATATATGTCCTTTATCAATCAAAGTACATTAAGGACTGACTCCTAAATTGATAGCAAGTAAGTTGTAAACAAGAAATTAAAAAAATCCTGTTTTCCTGCTTAGCACATGCTTAGTATAGCGGGGATGGGATTTGGGAAGCAAATACACTGAAGGTTTCACACAATAAAAATTGTGATTTGGACATTACAGTTTTAAAGTTATACAGAAGAATGCATATGAATACATATCTTGGAAATGGGAGATAATATTAAAAAGAGAATTCAATTTAAATGAAACCTTTCACTACAGATATTCAAAGACAACTCTAGTAACTCTCATCTTGAAGAATCCTAACAGTTCTCCTAGATCTGTATTTGCACATAAAAAATAATTTCATCAGGTCCTCCAGTGTGTGGTTAGTCCAGACCATGACTGTATCTTCTAAATAGTGTTTCTTTAAGTTTATAGGTTTGTACTGCTACCTTAACATCCCTTGCTTTACCATTTGGTGGATGATTTGAATGGAAGGAAACAAGGAACATAACCCAGAAACGTGTGCTTTGTTCAATTACAGACAAAGATGTTAAAACATAATAATGTTTCCCACCAACATAACGAAAAACAGTGACACATTCACATCCTAAAAATCCAGCTGTACATACAGGTGTCTGCACCAGATGCTTCCCTAAGCACAATGTGATAAAAGTGATTATTTCCCACTCAGCTGAGAACAATCCCAAAGTAGGGTATTTAAAGGAGGATGATAGTGCAGGTAATTAGGAGCCCCATGCCTTACACACAAAGCAATGTTTAAGAGAGTGAAGCTGAGAACCATCTGTCCTTTACACAGGGGCCTATGTTTTAATTCATGAATTTATCATAATGATGGGCAGTTTTCAGCCTGCTTCCCCAGGCGAGATCCTACTCAAAAAATGATGAGGGATTAAACGTCTTAATTCCTGGTTGTGACAGGTGGTAGCATGCCTTATGTTCCCAAAAGGAGCAAGGGCACCAGAATCTGATAATTGACCAAGGGATATTTCTGTGAGGAATGACAGAAAATTCTGGCTTTGATCCACGTATGTGCACTGTGGCTTTTCCTACCTTTGGACTTCCTGTCATGGTAGCTCCTGCCTCGGTAATGGTGGCCACTGTCCGTGTACAAATTTTCAAGATCTTCTTGCCAGGAGTCTGGGTTAAAGTGTTTGAGTAGATCCTCCACTGTGTCAAATGCAGCAATGGTCTGATCCAGAGCTTCCGCCGTGAGAGTAGGGTCAGTCACTGATGGAGAGGGATAGGATACCCCCTAAGAGTGACATACATCTCAGTGTACTTGGAATAAATTATAGCACTGCTCAAAACAATTGACAACAGTTACTGAGAAATTTATCTCATTGCTGACTGAAACAGCTGCTTTGGGCCGTCTTTTGAAGTCCTTAGCTGGGCCAGTCTGTGTCATGCCCATGTTATATTTTGCAAGGTAGAGAGACACCAAGGCAACTCCCAAGCGATTCCCAGAGAAGGGTGCAGGGAGTTGCAGGATTACTACTGCTGGAAGTGCAGGCTGTTTCAAAAAAGATCAGACCAGGTTGGAAAAACACAAAGCTCTACCCGTGTCTTCCACAGGAACTGTCAATGTGTACATCAACCCCTCAAAAGGAATGTCAGTTTGCACGTATGCTGGGTAAAACCCAGCAGAGAAAGACAAAGGTAATAACCCCAGCAGACTTTCTGTCTCTATGTAGTCAATTTGGATTACAAATTTGGCTTGGTTAAGGACTTGAAAATATGGCCCTTTGCTACTAAGAATTAAATCTGTTATGAAACAGTGATGAATGCAAATTCCCCCACCCATTTACCAAAAATAGAAGTCACTAAGGCAAATGAGAAAAAAATGTGATATTTGGACCTCAGCAATGTAACAATGAAAACTGGGACTACCAACATAGTATTATCCTCACAATAATATCATAATACCAAATGGAATATTACTTCCAAGCAGGAAAGGCCAAGTATCACTGTCTGAGCATATTTGATTGCCACTGAATTTGTGCCATAGCTAGATTTAAATAAAATAGTGCACTGGTTTCATTTTTACTAGAGTGAACTTTAAATATTTTTTCATAACCCTTACTTAAAATCACAAATATTCAGTATCTTAATATCACATTTTTTCCCTGTCCAAGGACAAAACCTCCTAATATCTGGGTAAAATATGCACAGGAAAAACAATCAATGCAGATCTTTACTTTCTAAAGAACCAGAATCAAAATACTTGGTTTGTCCAATAAGAAGTACAATATAGCACAAAAGTTTTGAATTTTTCTTTGTTAAGTGAAAACACGGCAGGGGTGCGATTTGTAAAATGAAAGAACCCCCACTTCCCCTGAAAACCAAGCTCTAAAGTCACGTAGCAGAAACATGTCATTTAAAATTAATGTTCCAACAAAGTATTTTTTTGCCTGATCTCCCAAGTAAGTATACATATTAAAATATTAATCTTTGTGGTTAACTTTACTCAGCTGGGCAGTAATGGAAAGGTCTACTCACCTGAGTAAAGTTACTCGCTTTCTTTCAGGATTATGTCCTTCAATAGTTACAAAAATAGTTTCATAGTATATGTGTCTTTTAAAATAAAACTTTGTTAGCTAGTTATATCATAGAATTTACAGTCCTTGACATTTTACTGCATATGTTTGCAGAAAGACAGTCCAAATCATTAAACACAAAAAAAAGAAAAGAAAATATAACAAGAGTGTGGTCAAGAAAGCATAACTGCACTTTCCTACTTATCAGCAACAGCGCAAAAAATTTCAGAGGGCCCACTTGTGACTCTAAAGGCTTCTGCAAAGCAGTGCTAAGTAAGACACAATGCAGATGGCTCTAAAAATTCATGATCCACTAAAAGGGAAGGCATACAACAAAGACCCTGTGCTGACTTCTAAGTGATTTGGAATAAAGACTGTCAAAGAGATGGGAGCCCCATGAGATGAAAAACTCACGTCAGCAAAGCGAAAAAAGCGTTGCTATCTAAAACAATGCTGCAGGAGAGGCGGTGTTGTAGTCTGTCATCACACAGTATATTAACATAGTCTTTGAGGTTACAAAAGAAAAATGCACCCACATGCTACTTGCTTATCGAAGAGAGCTCAGTGGAGCTAATGGCCTGTCTGTGATCACAGCCCAACAGGAAAACTTCAGTCCCCAAGTCCCTTCCAAAAGTGAGAAAGGGAGGGAGAAGATGTAAGGATGCTTATGAAATAGCAGCACTAAAAATGGTCTGCTCCGGTAACACAGTGGTAGTGAGAAAATTCAAATATGTATGAGCATACTGTTGCACAGAGATTGGCTCACAACATGGATACAACCCTGTTCTCAGAGATGCAAGTAAAGCCCATATTTTTGGCATAGGAAGGAGGGGGATGCTAGCCAGCAGGCTACAGGTGTGTGATTTAGATGATGGCAGAGCTTTTTTCATACGTTCAACTGTGCATTTCATTACAGAACTGCAGGACAGACTGTAAATTTGCAGGGCATGTCAAACTCATACAAGCACCAAGGATTCCCCATTTTCTTTTCATATTAAAGCTCCTACTCAAGAGATTTCTGCAACCTAGTTCACACACAGACGAAAGCTTAACTTTTTTTCTCAGTGATAGCCAAGTCAAGAGGAATTATTACAACAGCTCAGATAACCTATTGGCAGCCACATCATGTGACAGACCCAGAAGTAGCTTCAAAGCTGCCAACCCAACTGCTTCTTTTTTGTCCTGCCAAGAACGAAATGCTAGGTTTAGAAGAGCTCGTGCTAGTTGTAATCTGGCTTCTGTGATTGCACCCAAAGAAATGGCAAGAGGAATAGTGAAATGCACGGAACAGTGAATAGCATATATTTTCCATATTATGTACCTCTTCTGGGTTTCTTAAAAACATTGAACACATTTTTAATTTCATGGGACACAAAAGGTATTTTCCTTTCTTGTCAGTGCTCTTCCCCTTAATTTCTATTGCATTTCTCTCTATTCTATCATGATATTCTGGTTGATGCTATCTTTCTGTACTGTTGTGAAGCTGACTGGCACTTCAATGAACGTGTGTATCTTAGTTATGGTTTGGTCATACGATTACTTTGCACATAATGGAAACTGGCCTAATAAGAAGTGAATTTTTTGTTAACTTTTCTTCGGGTTTGTCATGCTGGGTTAAGGGCGAAAGTATTGATATTAGCCTTCTGAAGAAAAATAAGAAATATGGTTCTTATTTCCCAACCAAGCAAGAATCTACTTGCTTGCCCACAAATTTTCTTTCTGAGAATTGTAATGTACTCAGATCCCAAAATGAGTCTGTGGGTTGCCTGCAGGTTTGAGGGACCAAACTTGGAACTGTCACGCTAACACAGTATCAGCAGAAAAAATTGTCAATTTGCCAGTGACTGACAGGCCCAAGTTTGTCCTTCCTACTACGGAGGACCACAATCCCCAAACTTTTATTTCCTGAAGAATTTGGATATCTTCAGATTTTTGTCCTCGGTGGCTTTGGAAGAATTACTCAATCTCTCCACCTTATTATCCTAAAGGATAAAAAAAAGGTTGCACTGAATACTGGCTAGAAGGAAGTATTTCTTTATTAGATAGAGGATGCTGTGGGAAAAACAAAGAAACTGGGATTCTGCTTATAACTTAGCTGTAGGCTTCTCTGTGACCTTCAGCATCAGCTTTCTACTTGTAATATTAGTACTGAATTTCCCTACTTTTCAGAAATGAGTAGATGTAAAAGATAAAACAAATTCAGATCTTCTTTCAATACGAAAAGAATAATGGATTATTGTTTATTGTACTGGGATGTTTACGATGCTAAGGATAATTAACATGGTGTTTTCCACTTACTTGATCTCATTTTCATAGTTATCTGATGAGGAAGCCCACAGCTTACACTTTCAAACATCAGTGCACCATATTTTAAAACAAAATATTCTATCACATAAAAAATGCACTCATTTTTTTAAACCACACGTTAGAATGCAAAATGAGTTTATGTCTTTCAGTAAGATAGTCTCTTAGTATCTCCTGCTTGGCACATCGAGTAGACATCAGCCCTGCCAACATTGCTACTCAGAACTTTCAGCTCAGTTAATACAAGGCTGTCAACGAATTGCATCATGAAGAGCAAGTGTTAGCTGTAAGGTCAAGGTGAAATTGGCTTAACCTCTTCTGATTTTGGCAATCCAGAATTTTATCTCTACTCACTGCCTGGCCTGGAATACCAATTAGAATAAATTACCCATATTTTATTTACTGCTACTCCACTGGCAGCTACCATAACAAAGGTGCCATCACTAAATCGTCTTCCACGAATGTCTGAAATATTGATCTCCCTTGTCAAGGCGCTTTGAGCATTTATCCAATATGCTTTGAGCACATCTCCAATACGTTGTAAGAACAGCAATCACTTGCGAGTATGGTGCTGATCAGCCAGCAGAGGGCACATTAGAGGACGACCTATTATCATTAAGCCTAACGCTACATTGCCACTCCCCACCGTGTGGACCTAGAATTTAACTGGACTTGGTAAATGCAGTGAGGGACAGATTTTTGGTCAATGACAGATCAAATGCAATGAAGAGAAAGAAAAGATCATACACTGGCTTCATGGTGTTTTTTTGTTTGTTTTGTTTTTGTTTTTGAGTCATAACCCATTGCTCAATATGCAGATTTAAAATGCAATATTTCATTACAAATACTAAAAATATCTTCAGTATTGACAATGAAAAAATAGATCCATTCTCCTACCAGCTTGCTATAGTCTTCCATTTAGGTCAAGGCACTTTCTAATTTAAAATCTTAAGGAGTTTGTATCTTGTGTTTTCTTCTTGGCAGGATGAGTCTGAAAGCAAGAAATATTTCCCAATGGCTATTTCATATGGCCACAACAGCTGCTGGCATACCCTGAATCTTTTGTCCTTTAAAAACTCTTGCCTAAGTTGAGGATGAGTTTGATAAACACTTCTTATTTCATCCTCTGCCTGAAGTTGAACACATGGTTCCTCTGTGCAGGTTCCATTATAGTGAAATGAATTGAAAACATCCTATCAATTCATTTAGGGGCAAAATAGTAACAAACTACTTACTGAGACAGAGCTTGTGACTGACTCCCAGTTGGTTTCTGAGGCTGCATGCTGGAAATCATCCTAAGAGGAAAAACCCACAGGAAAAATCACCATTAAGGCAATGTCCTAAATTAACTGCAGAACCTAAAAAAAGTCTCAGTATTCTATACCTTTCACCTTTTTTAACCCTCTTCCATGAAAGAAGCCCTTGCCATGTGTCAATCCTAAACCTTTTCATAGGATAATGCTAATTGTCTTCAGTTTCCTCCCCTTTCTTTCTTTATAAACTAAGTCCCTGTAAGCTTGTTGGGGCAAGGATAGGTGTTATTAGTATTTTTAATAAACTGTATGGTGCTTTGCATAACAGCGCTTAATCTGGTCAACAACATTACAGGTATCTTCTAATGTAAATATCAGACACCACCTCTGTGTGTCTGTAATCAGAGTGCAATGCTCTGTGAAGTTACCCAAGCTGACCCACTCCAGAGATGATGTAGACATACTAATAGCCTGGGACTATTTAGCCATGGTGGAAGGCAGGGTAATCTAATCTGTTTGGAATGCAGTCCTAACATGACTAAGCTGCTTTTGGTGTTTGTGATGAATTAGACTTGCTCATCTGTGCAGAGCACTGAAGGGTGCCATCCCCTTTTTGTCAAAAAACACAGCCACAGTACAGTTACATTAGAATTCTGAGAAGCACCCAAAAAAAAGGACATTTATGGTTAATTTCACAGAATCACAGAACAGTTGGGTTTGTAAGGGACTCCTGGAGATCATCCAGTCCAAGCCCCCCTGCTCAAGCAGGGTCACCTACAGCAGGTTGCCTAGGACCGTGTCTGGTTGGGTTTTGAACATCTCCAAGGATGGAGACTCCATAAACTCTCCGGGCAGCCTGTTCTAGTGTTCACTCTCCCTTACAGAGAAAAAGGGTTTTCTCATGTTCACACAGAATTTCCTGTACTTCAATTTGTGTCCATTGCTTCTCATCCTGTCACCAAGCACCACCGAGAAAACTCTGGCCCTGTCCTCTTTAGACCTTCCCATCAGACATTCATACATATTTACAAAATCTGCCTTGTGAGCCTTCTCTTCTCCAGGCTGAACTGCCTCAGCTCTCTCAGCCTTTCCTCTTATGAGAAATGCTCCAGTCCCTTAGTCATCTTTGTGGTTTTTCGCTGGATTCACACCAGCAAATCCATGTCTTTCTCACACTGGGGAGCCCATCACTGGACACAGCACTCCAGATATGGCCTCAGCAGTGCTGAATACAGGGGAAGGATCACCTCCCTTGACCTGCTGGTGATGCTCTTTGAAAAAAGGGATGGGATTTATCTCATCTACCTTTAGATACCTACAAAGCAGACATCTAATCTAGTCAGCCTTGTTTCCATGTATAGTCAACTGAAACTAGCATTTTTTGAATTGAATTCATCTGATCTATTTTAGAGGCCTAATTTTGGTTAACATGAATTGCATCCTAAAAATGTTTTTTCCTCTCCATTGGTTATTAAGGGAGCTTGGGATGACTAGCTTAAATGCAGATGTCAGAATTGTAGATATTGACAGTTGGTCAGCTAAATGCAAGCCTACTTCTCTGATCAGTGAAGGGCAATCATTACTAAAATAATGAATAAAACCTTTCTTTAATTTTTTCAGTTTTGCTCATTTCCAGATGGAAAAATTAAACTATGAAAAAATGGAAAAAAAGGCAGCACTGGAGAATGATCAACATGAATGAGCAGGTGAGAAAACTGAAGAGACAGCATACCAAGGTTTTCATTTATGATAACTGAATTCCATAATTCAAGGATTTAAAGAATACAAGGTTCAATACCTGGGCTCACCTTTTTACACTGACTTAGTATGTGCTGTGCATTTTTTAAGCTGGCAATCTAAAAGGGAAAATGGATGCTCTCTGGAGTCAATACTGTGTTGGATCGTACATATATGCACGTCTTCAGTTACTTCTTAATAAGGCAAACGATAAAACTGATCACATAATCTGCTAGTCCATCAATAAATTTCTCCCTTAATCAAGAAGAAACAGCAGGGTTCAAATTCTGACTTCAAAGAAATGGTTACTTTAATATTCTTAATTTCCTACAGAAAACTATATAAATGCCCTAAAAATCGTAAGATTTTTAATTCAATAATGTTACTGTTTCTTCTTCCTTAAAATGCTACTTTTCTTCAAACCTGAGACATCAAAGCTTTAGTGCTTTCTTTAGTACTTATGGTTAGTTTAAGTTAGGCCATCAAACTATAGTGTCACTAAGTGAGCAACAAAACTGCAGAGCTATTAAAATGTGACTAATTAGAGTGGCTATTTTCTTCTAAGAATATAGACGCAAAATATTATCAGTTGGCTACCTTGGCCCCATTCTTTTTTTGTTGCCCAGCTCTACATAAGCTACACTTTAAAACACATACAAATGGATTTAAAATGCTCAGAGATCCTCTGGTAACCTTTGCCAGTTGCAAAACTTGGAAATCATTTCCTCTCTGTCATTAGCTTCCATTTAGCACTTCCAGAAAAAAGTGGCATTGAGTTCTGAAGCATTATGTTAAAACAGGGACAATCTGCCTCATTGAATGTCTGGAGAAGACTGCAGACAAGGAATCATTTTCTGTTTGAAGTGACGGTCCCCTTGTGTTATCTAATTGTAGACATCAAAACTGTTTCTTTAGTCTACGATTCTTTGAGATGGCTGATGCCAGGGAACCACTCCAAAACCGTGACATCGATATGTGTACCACCTGCTTCCTGGATCTCAAACCTGATGACTGCACATTTTGACTCTGTGATTATATTTCATTTGCATAAACTATTCATGACTAGATGGCTTTGTTCCACCATCACTTAAGGCAGCTGCAATCATTCTTGGCTTCTCAGAGCTTTCAACCTCTACAGTTTGAAGATTATTATTATCTACGGCTTCTGCTCGCAGCTATTTCAAGTAATGATATCAAAGTGTTTCTCATCATTTCAAAACCCTTCTCCTTTCTCACCATTGTCCCTAACAGAACCTGAAGGACAAATCTATTTTCAGAACTATGCATTGAATTCACAGTACCTTGTTTATGTAGATTAGCACATGACTACTTGGCTATTGTTTTCTTCATTTGGCATTAAAACATTTAGTTAAACCACAATCATTTTACATCCTTTTTAACTGTATCTTAGGAAAATAGGGTGGCAATAATTTGGCTACATCACCCTGACAACAGTGCTTTTATTTTTGCATGAGTGTCATGGTAACATTACCTTACTTGAGATTTCAGCAAAGCATCATATTAGCTGTTCTACAAGCAGCAAAAATACAGGTAAAGCCAAAGGGTTACTAACCATCTTCTGACAGCAGCTACTATTATTGAGGGAAAACTATTTCCGTATCTCAGCTTTCAAAATTACAGCTCAGTGAGACAAACCCTGAATCAGTCCTCAGGGTTAAACATGTATGGGCATTGATGTATTGTTGGTGGCTCTGTTTCAGACAAAGATAAACTATTCTTTCCTTCACAGACTGACTTTGTCCACACCCTGTCTCCAACCAATGACATCAGATAAGTGAGAGGGAGTCATGGCGAATACTCTTTGTTTCACCAAGGGCTTTCAAAAGTGGAGATCATGAGGCATAATCTCTGCTCTCAAGGATATATGAAACTTAAAAAATAGAGACAGAGTTGGCTGCAGAGGGAGATGGTTTACAGCCTGCAGCTCCACAAACTGTAGCAGCACAGTCTCTGCCAGGGTCAAGCCACCACGCAGTTTGGCATTTTCAATGGGAATAGGGAGAGTAGCTGGTGCTGGAGCTGTTGGGAAGGCACCAGCGATGCGTTTGGGACCTGTAAACTCCAGTTTGAGTCCACGGCTCACTCTACTGCACCATGAGTCCAGTAAAGTATATGAGTCCCCTTTAGCCAAGCTGAATTACTCTGTGGTCCTCAAATTAAGAACAAGAAACACTTTCTAACATTTCTGTGATTCCTGCTTTATCACTGTAATCCATTTTTTTGTCATCTCTGTGCTTGACATCTACCAGGCCTGATGCCTGTGATAGGCAATAACTGCCACAGGGTAGGAACAACATACCTGCAGCTGTCCATCCAGTGAAAAGAAGCAGCCCCAAGCTCTGCATATGCATCTCTCAATGCTTTCTCCTGCTCTACAGGTCCCAGAAGTAATTGTATTAGGTTAGGTAAAAATTATCTATCTGCCAAAACAACTATAAACTATAGCTAATAAAAGCTGAGGTGATGCTCTGAGCTTTAAGGAGTAGGAAAGGTTCACAAGAAAAGACTTGTGATCAAGAAGAGCTCAGATAGCATCTTAGACTGATGGTCACAGCCTGCCTGTTTAATATGGTCCTCTCCTGAAGAAGCTGCATTCTCCATTTGGCATTGTAATGGGAGCAGAAAAGAAGTGAGGGGGGAAAAAGGTAAAAATATAGACATGTTCTTGGGCCAACTGAAAAAGAGCATGAGAAGGAGGAAGAAAAAAGTAAGGAAAAATGAGCACAGAGAAACTGAAAGTGTTGAGCTCTGTCTATCTACATTAGCTTTGTGCTATTTAGATGCTATAGCTACAAACTGTACAACAGAGCAGCAGCTTTTAGAAGTTTGCAGAGGTACAGGAAGAAGGGGATATGCTAAGGGAACTGGTACTGAGCAGCAATGAAGATTCTGCAAAATCAAATCAGAGGTGAAATGGGCATGTCCATTACAGTGGGAGGTCTGTAAGGTAAACCTGAGGTAAATTATAACATGAAGAAAAGGAGATTATCCTAACATTTAAATTAATAAAAGGAAACTCTCAGACAGAGGTATTTTTGAACAATACTGAACATGCATCTATAGCATTCAGCGCACGGCAAGTAAAATCACCTGTTTGCAGACAGGCAGGTGATAAGCAGATAAACTTATAATTTTAGTTGGTATATCAAGTCACCCTAATCTGGGCACGAGATTTTTCTTTTTCTTTTTCCTCGTAATAAGCCTTAGAACCAACACTTTCTCTGAAAGTTGAATTTACAAATATTACATTTTATATAGAAAATGACAGGTACTTCAAGCAAATA